TTCCAGCATAAGTACACTAGAACTTCAGCACAATATACTAGCGTTCCAGTAAGTATATATGTCCAGCATAATATACTGGAGTTTGGAGCACCGGTGCTCCAGTCTTCAGTATATTATACTGGAGCCAGCAAAGTATACCGGTCCAGCATAATATGTTGGAGTTCATACACAGGTACACCGAACTCCAGTATATTATGCTGGACCGATCTCTGTTGCAGTAAAATAGTGGTTATTTTTCATTGACTTGGTAAGTGCTGGTTATTTTTGAATGACCAGCCCGAAAACTGGCTATACCATGCAATTTTACTACTTTACCTTCTGTTTTTGCTTCATTAACTGGTATGCTCCCACTATTGCCATTCAATTAAATCTATGTGTTTTTCTTATAATCAGTATGTCTTTCTTCTAAATCTGTATGTTTTCCGGCTCAGCATGTCTACTGTTATTTATACCTGCATTATTGACGATTGGCAATGATATAAAAACATACGTCGAATGGACCGGGTAAATTTCACAAATGGTCATATAACTACGGCCTTTTTTTTTACCAAAGTAATATAATTTTGTTTTCTCACACAAAAATGATAAAACTTTCACTAACTCACACAAAAATAATAATGACCGAAAAACACGATTTTTTAATACATAGTACTTTTCTTCCGGTGTTTTTTTGTTTTTTATTTTCAATCTAATAAATAATCATTTAAGTCTATTCAGTAAATTGACGAAAGACTGTGATTTATGCCTTTTATGGCAACGATTTCGTGCTAAATTTGGTGGATTTTTCCGTATCTTTTAATTTTATGGCGTGTAATTTGCTCGTTACAATTTACGTTTCTATATCATTGCTATTCAATAGTTTATATATAATTTACCTCAACTGATGACATACTAAACTTTCTTTTCCCCTATGAAGCTGTTAACACTTGCCATAATAAGACTAAAATGTTGATATAACTAGGAATTAGAATAAGAGATCCCAAGGAATTAGTATTAACAAATCTTACCATATCCATTAATTAATTGCTTGCATTTTTCAGTATGCTGTATAATGTATATACGAAAGCAAAAAAAGTACTTGTGTTAAATATCAATATATCGGTAATAAATTACATTTTACCGACTGAATTTGGTGTTTTTTACATCAAATATTATCATTGAAAGAATTTTAGGGTAAATTTACTTGAAAAATAGTTAGTTAGATTATCATATGTGCTCGAGTATATACCATAAGTAATTAATTATTTGAAATCTCAATTTCTTTTTTATTCGTATATGACATGATCCCGCTTCATTTACAAAAAGGGAAAATACTGGTTAAGTTTCTTGTTTATACATATTATAATGGATAATTCTATTTTTTTTTCTATAGAAAAGGTAAATAAACTAGATAAACGTGTGCTTCGTATAAAGTATAAACATTTTGCATGATACGAATGAATTATTTTGAAGAGAAAACTTAAAAATGAAATATGTTGAGGTAAAAAACTTACCAAGTATAGATCAATTACGCTTAAAACGTAAATGATGTAATACATTTTTATTTTTGTAAAAATGTCTATATTTTCTAGTAATAGCATTTAGCCGCTTAGGAGGAAAAAGAAATAAAGCTAGGACTTAGTGAAAATATCGTTCACTCTACATAAGTTTAACCAGAAAATATTGTTGATCAATTTCCCTAAAACAGTTAGACAAATGGTTTAAAAAATGAATTGGCTAAAGAAAATCGCCTTTTGTAAATAATATCAAAAAAGGAAAATAGAACACTTTACAATAATACCAAAGATAGAGAGGAGAGGGAGAGAGAGTAATGAATATGCTATATGCTAATTAAGTGAAACAATAACGGATTATTAATATAAATAAATTGGGTAAAAGGTTTACTAATACTCCGACTACTTAATAAGGATAGTGAAACGTTTGAAACTTGCGTTGGAGCGCAGAAGAGAAAGTGTTGATTGTAAAATTTCGGAGAATTAGAGGAGTTTCATTTGCTTTTTCTCCTTAATTTTCTAACTGTAAGAATGTTCTTAGTTTAATTTTTTAATTTTTTACTTTTTATTGAAAATCCAGTTGTTTGCATGCCTTAGTTCTTGTTAGTGAATTTTAACTTTCATTTCAAAGTTGTTTGTGGCATTTCATTGTGTTGTGGTGAATGTTGTTGAGGTGGATAATGATTTCATAGAGCTATTGATAGTTCCTATTTTTTTTGAGCCGATGGTATATTGGAAATCGCCTCTCTACCTTACGGTATGGGTAAGTAAGGTCTGCATAAACACTACCCTCCCTAGACCCCACTTATGAGATTATATTGGGATAGTTGTTATTGTATTGAAAGTTGGTATTTGAATAAAACATTTGAACTTGCAACCTAAAGCAATTTTTAAACTACTTCTCTTACGTTAAGGGGATTCAAAAATTCATATATATACCACAAATTTGTTTTTGCCCTATTTGTATAGTACAATTTTCCAACCGAGCGGATTCAATTGAACCCCTTCCTTGTATGTGGCTCCGCCACTGCGTTATAGGCTCTGGTTTTGGAAATTAACACAACATATGGTAATCGAAAATGGATGTTGGTGCATGCATTTGTATATACATCTATGAGATTTTATATTGTCATTTAAAGCCTTTTTAAAAGGACAACCCGATGCACTAAACTCTCTCTATGCATGCAGTGGCGGAGCCACATTGAAGCAAGGGGTGTTAAGCGATGCCCCTTCGCCAAAAAATTACGCTATTTTGCTAGATAAATTTTTTATTTTATGCATATTTACTATACGTTGACTTCTCTTGACTTTTCGATGTATCTAATTATTTTTATCTTGACACCCATAGATGAAAATTCTGGATCCGCCACTGTATGCGCGAGGTCCGGAAAAGGGCCGGATCACAAGAGTTTATTGTATGCAGTCTTACCCACGGTAAGAGGTTGTTTCCACGTGTCGAACCCGTGACCTCCTGGTCACATGGCAGCAACTTTATCAGTTACGCCAAGGCTTCCCTGTTTAAAGCTTTTCTATTTCTTTAATTTGTGTGTTTGCTATGTACTTGGACGTGTTGTTGAACAAGATCGAATTGAATCTTGACAAGTCTGTCTTTGAATGTATGGTTGGATTTGTTAGGTCTCTGATTGCACATTAAGCAGCATTTGGTGCTGAAAAGAACAATTCCAGTAAATGAACAGAAGACTTGGTCTTTCAGTTGACATGTTAAAGGCAGTGGCATCTGGATTGTTGATCTTAGCGTTGCTTGTTTTCGGATCGAAAGCTGATAATGGCTTTACTGAATGTTATTGTGATGGTGATGAGAGATATTGGAGTATGGACAGGATTTTATGGTACCAGAAAATGAGTGATATCTGTATTGCAGTAACTTATTTTTCAATCCCAATTGAGATAATTTACTTTGTCAGCTGTTGTAACTTTCCCTTCAAATGGTTGCTTTTTCAAATGGGAGCATTCATTACATTCTGTGGATTAACTCATTTTCTCAATTTCTTGGCTTCCAGTCGCCATCCCACATTTCAGCTTCAGCTTGCCATTCTTGTTTCCAAAATCTTCACTGTCGCGGTTTCGTGGATGACTGTTTTTACCCTTGCCAAAATCATCCCTTTGCTGCTTAAAGTTAAGGGAAGAGAGTTTATGTTGCGAAAGAAGGCTTCGGATCTTTACCGAGAAGTTGGAATAATAAAGAAGAAAACGGAAGCTGGAATGCATGTTCGGATGCTTACACAAGAGATCCGAAAGTCACTTGATCGTCATACAATACTATATACAACTCTGGTTGAGCTATCGAAGATATTGGATTTGCAGAATTGTGCTATTTGGATGCCTAATATGAACAAAACTGAGATGAACCTGACTCATGAGCTTACGACGAGGAACTTTTCCTGTATGCCTATCCCAACCAGTGATTCAGATGTAAAAGAGATAAAGCGGAGTGATGGTGTAAAGATACTTGATGCTGACTCCCCGCTCGCTGTTGCAAGTAGTGGTGGGAGTTGTGAGCCGGGAGCAGTGGCTGCAATTAGGATGCCACTGCTGAGGTTGTCGAATTTCAAAGGTGGAACTCCTGAGATTGTCCCGCCATGTTACCCAATCCTGGTTTTAGTTCTTCCTAGTGGAAAAGGTAGATCTTGGAGTAACCAAGAAATCGAGATAGTTAGGGGTGTAGCCGATCAGGTTGCCGTGGCTCTGTCTCATGCTGCGGTTCTTGAAGAATCTCAACAGATAAGAGACGTATTGATCGAACAGAATCAAGCTCTGCACCAAGCGAAACAGGACGCTCTTAGTGCAAGTCAAGCAAGGAATGCATTTCAGAGTGTTATGAGCCACGGGCTGAGAAGACCTATGCATTCAATTTCAGGTCTACTCTCCATGTTACAGGATGATGGCAAGTTAAGTAAAGAGCAACAGCTTCTTGTCGATACGATGGTTAAAACCAGCAAAGTCGTCACAACCCTAACGGATGAGGTGATGGATACTTCAGAAAAGGGCGGGTTGAGATTCCCGTTGTAGATGAGGCATTTTCAGCTACATTCCTTCATAAGAGAAGCTGCTTGTCTTGCCAAGTGTTTGTGTACTCTTAGGGGTTATATTACTGGCATTGAGGTTGACAGATCTTTACCTAATCATGTTATGGGTGATGAAAGAAGAGTGCTTCAAGTTATACTTCATATGGTTGGAACTCTTTTGAAGGGCAGCGATGGCGGGTATCTCACCTTCAGAGTTCTCCCGGAAAGTGGAAACGAGTTAAGTTGGAAAACAAGGAGATCAAATGATGATATCTATATCAGGTTTGAAATTTGCACAAGCATTAAACGATCTCAGCCCGAGGGCATAACATCCTCATTACCACATTGTACGCAAAGATACCGCAGTGACGAGGTTGAGGAGACCTTGAGCTTCAGTGTTTGTAGAAAGCTGGTTCAGGTATGGATCACACTATCATAAATAGCTTTTGTTGTCTTGTTTTTCGCTTTGCATTAACTTGATTTTGGTATGTAAAATGAAAAGCAGATGATGCAAGGAGACATCTGGATAGTCCCAAATTGCGAAGGTTTTGATAAAAGCATGGCTGTTGTTCTTGGCTTTCAAATTCTTCCATCTAGTACAATAGTCAAGCCCGAGCCTGATCACTCGCATTCTGTTATCCACGGTGTCAAAGTTCTATTAGCCGACTCTGATGATGTGAATAGAGGAGTAACGAGGAAGATGCTCGAGAAATTGGGATGCAACGTTGCTGTAGTTTCATCTGGATACGACTGCCTTGGTGCTCTTGGCACCGATGTGTCCTCGTTTCGAATTGTCCTGTTGGATCTTCGCTTGCCTGATTTGGATGGCATTGAAGTTACCATGAGAATTCAAACGTTTCGAAACAGTAGCTGGCCGTTGATTATTGGTTTAGCTGCAACTGCTGATGAAGATGTAAGTGGAAGATGTCTGCAGATTGGAATGAATGGAATTATATGTAAACTAGTGCTCTTACCAGGACTTGCTCATAAGCTTCAGAAAGTCCTGCTCCAGGCAAGCAGAATCATTTCGTAATGGTTAAAATTGTTAATGAAGTATCTCATTCTCTTTTTTAAACAAAAAAATGTACTCAGTTAAAAGTCAAAACTTTCTTTAGCTCTTCTTTTCACATAATTTTTAAGCTCTATAGCTTTTAGCTGAAGCATGCTAGCATCTGCTCATTCAGTTTATATTGAAACTTGACAATTTGGTACATCTAAGTTGTGTGGATTCCTCAAAATGTCGGATCCTTCAAAAATATTCTGCTTTTGGACAATTCGACACGCACCCAGCAACTTTTTCGAAAAGTCCAGGCAACATAATAACTAACATATTCGTATAGAGGAAGTATAATGTTAAGAGTTAACTTGTAGTCCGGTGCATTAAACTCCCGTTTTGCGCGGGGTGGGGAAAAGCCGGACCACAAGGGTCTATTGTACGCAATCTTACCCTGCATTTCTGCAAGAGACTGCTTCCACTGGTCGAACTCGTGACCTCCTAGTCATATGGCAGCAACTTTACCAGTTAGGTCAAGGCTCCCCTTCTTAATAGATAACTTGTGAATTGCTATATTTCAGTTTGTTCCAACACAAAGTATCCTAAGGCAGAGCAGTGAGCAGATAGCATTCAATATTCCAGTAAGCCACAGATTCCTTCATCAGAGCTAAGCTTCAGATAACTTATATTTTCTGCAGACAGTTTATGTTGTTTATTTGAAAGGAAAAAGGTGTCTCCATGTGACCTATAAATTACGGGTTCGAGCCGTGTAATCAGCCACTGATGTCTGTATCAGGATCGGTTGCATGCCTACATCACATCCCGAGGTTGTAATCCTTCTTCAGACCCTGGTGGTTGGGAGGGGGAGAGGAGGGGAGGTGGGGCAGAAAAAAAAAAAGAAAATTGAAAATACAAAAAAAAAAAAAAAAAAATTGAGGGGGGAAGGGTTGGTGGTGCAGAAAAAAAAAACAAAAAAACTAAAAGTTCAAACAAAAAAAAGTAAAAAAATTCTTTTTGAAGGAAGGGGGGTTTTGCGCGAGGGGACAGGGTGGGTGGATGGTGCAGAAAAACAAAAGAATATAAAATTAAAAATACAAAAGAAAAAAGTAAAATTGGGGCAACTAAATAAATTTCTATATAAGTTGGGTTGAGATACCTTTTGTTTTGGGTGAGTTTCATGGGTTGTATTTTGGCTGCTTAATGGGTCAGAATGGGCTATAAAATATAATGGGTTAACTTGGGCTCAAATTAGCCCATGAGCTAAAATGTTTGTAACTCAACCCTTAATCTCTAGGCGAGTTAGGCGGGTTAGATGGATTTGGGCTCAAATTGCCACCCCTACACACAATATAACTTTCCGACGAATATTGAATCCCTCCAAAGTAATTCTGACCGTGGAGGTTGAAGCCTATAATTAAGCTTCGAAAGATGCATTAGAAAAGCTTAGAATCAATAAATTTTTAGGGGTCGTTTGGTAGGGTGTATTAGAATAATATATATATATATATGTATGTATGTATAATTGTGTATAATTAATGTATACCGACTAAAAAGAATAAATATTAAATATGGCCGGTTATTTGTGTAACAATCCGGTTATCTTAGAAATTTTAGAATGCTAGGACTTGTCAATATGAATCCGGCAAACCAGCGGAAGGAAAAATCAAATCACTCATTAATATCAATCAACTTTTAATTTGCATCAATCCCTAATTATCAAGCATGCCTATGATTTACCAAAAGAAAAAGGAAGAAGCAACACAGACAAATTTAGGGTTTGAATTTTATGGATTTTTTTTTGTGGGGTGCCCAGGCCCTTGCAGTAGTGTAACGTTTGGGCGACACTTGAGAGCCCAGATAGCAAGCTATCTTAGTGGACTCTCCCTTAAAAAATTAAGTTAATATCGTATGAGTTAATGACTCACATATTAGATATTAAACTGATAAGAACAGGTACTACACTTGATCTTAGCCAAAAGTCCGAGAAAGGCATAATTTTATGGATTTGAATTCGAAATTCTACGATATTCCATTTGATTTACGGGGTTCTAAATCTATTATATATGTATTTGTTTAATAAATTTCTTAATATATATTACCAAAATATTGAGTGAGATGAACTCATAACAAATACAATATATCCTCTCTTAGAACAAATAGAGAAAACTTAACCAGTAGTTGGCAGTGGACTATATGAGTTAAGGGGTGGGCATAAAATCCGAAAAATCGAAAAATCGGTATCGGTTTTTCGATACTAATTCGGTATGAATTTTTTGGTATTTCGATATTTCAGTATGGTCTTCGATATTGAACTTTTAATACTTCGGTATACCGAAATATCGAAATATTTTAGTGAATCTTACAGAAATGTCCCAAAAAAGTCTCCGCTTACCAATTTCTAACCATTAATCATACACTTACAAAAACTAGCCAAACACATATAAAAATTTAAAACACAAATAAATAAAGTTATTTCTCTCCAAGAATCACACACAAATATCTTCTTCCATATTTTTAAGTGTGATTAGCAACATTAGATGCAAGACGGAAATGAAATTTCGTGAATGAGGTAGCAAATAAGGTGATGAAATACATACATACATACATACATACATACATACATACATATATATAATTAATTTTGGATGACTTCGATAGATAATTTTGGATAGTTCAACATCAAAATTTTCGCTTAATCATGTTACGTACGTAAATTAATGTGATTCACATAAATATGGATTTTACCAATTCTCGTCAAACACACCAACCTTGTCCATAATTAGTACATAAGCCCACAGGTTTTCTTATATACACTCCACCAGCTGGTTGGATTATGACAAACAGCTTTAGAACTTCGTCTTTCAATCATAACACGTCTTAGTTACTAGTTCGCAAATTAAATATAGAAATATATATATATATA